CACTCAGTTTGTGCTAATCTTTCCACCCCCATATTGAATGGAAGGCACAACTGCCATCGTTGCTTGACAAGGGCACCCATACCCATACCAATGTTTAATAGAATGAAGATAAGGTTCGTTTATGGTGGAGGCTTGGATAGCTGAAACTCTATTTGTCAACAATAGTTCATAGCCATACCAGTTGGAGATGGATGAGAAAGAGATAAATGTATAGGCCATTGTATATTGAATTATTTTTGAAATAAGAATAAAAGAGGACAGATGCACAACAAATCGATGTTGAACAAATAGTGCAGGTAGTGAAAATGAGAGATGCTCTTGAAACAAGCAAAGTTTATTTGCATATACATGACGGAAAGTACAGTGTCTTGAAAACCGAAGTGCAAGCAAAATGCAGAGCTTAATGGCATAGTTAACAGATAAGGAATATACAATTGCACTATAGTATACCAAGGCTGGTATTTGACTGCACAGGTATTCTAACGTGAAACCAAATAGTGAATGAATAATGCAAGTTACTTTTACTTTTAGTTCTCGAATTTCATCAGCAATGACAGAGTTTGTCATAGCCTGAACATATATTTCCCAATCTCTCTGCATAGTCAAGTGTATCTCAATGTCGTTGACATAGTCAACATGTGCCAGCAGGCTTGGATTGTTTCCAATCTCTATTATGGGTGCATGACGGCTCGGGTTGTTTCCAACCACTATCAATCCTTGGCAAATTGCTTTGGATTCTATGTTTATATCAACGGGATAGATTGTAAGGAGCAGAGGGATGATGGTAAGTAGCAACAGAGTCCACCGATATGGATGCATAGTCGATGGAGGACAAAGAATATTGGCAGTTGTTGTTCAAATATTTGAAAGTTGAACAATCACATGACTTGAATTTACACGGACATGTGATTCAGCAATAGCACTCAGCGCATCGCACTTAGCTCAACTTGTCTAGAGAAAAATCTGCGAGGGAGTACACAAATTTAACATTTATAACTCTTGCTCATTATCTGAGCCACTTTCAGATGCTCTAGACCCATCATCGTCTGTTTCTGTGTAGTCGCTTCTTGAGAACATTAGAGTCAAAAGTATAAATTGAATATTGAAACTCACCTTGCCAAGTCCTCCACATTAATTTCACAATGCGAAAGTATTACACTATCTGTTTGGATGGAAATCTGTGTAATAGAGGGCATCATACCGCACACATAGTTTGCAAAGGAAGTTTGACTGCTACTATGCTGCCAAACAATGACAAGCTTGGATGCAAAGTATTTAGGTTCACAAATTTTGAAAAGAAGAATAGCAATGAGCGATATTGATTGCNAGATGATGGTGAGAATATTGTA